ATTTCTGAAGTTGGGACATTTATCTAGGACTTAACATTCTTAGGACTCTAGAGTGTCCCGCTGTGGTGATATCCGAATTTGGGTCATTTGTTCGGGGTTTCACATTCCTAGAAATGCTAATGGATCTGTGATTAATTATTTATTTTGATAAATGTGATATGAGGCGTCGGATGTAAAGTGAGCAGCTATTGGTCTTAATTTTACATCTTTTTTGTAGTTTTCAAAATTGAATAACTTGTTGAAGTTCACTGCATTGCATTTTATGGCCTTGTCATAGAAATCTGCATTTATGTGGAACAAAGTGGCGTTGCATATGAACTTATAAATCATTCACATGTAGTGGTGTGGAAATAAATTTTAATGAATGAAATATAAAACATTAAAACATTAACTAAGCAATCACTAGAATAAATTTTTACAAAAAGCGTAGAAAGTCTTCTTCCCCGTATGTGATTTCACTCTTTGCATCTTTATAAAAAAAATCTTCGACAATTTTAATAAATTTAATGCTACCTTTATAAATTTTAGGTCACTCAGAAAAGTGGCCTTGGGTAAATCAGGCACTCTCTCTTTTGCAACTTCATTAAGTTCTGGTTCATCCAGAAGACGTCCAAATATGCTGATGCTCAATCCTTTTGAAAATATTGTATCATGACCATGACGACAAATCCACTGAAATAGATAAAATATATTAACATACCACTGGAACTGCATTTAAATATTTTTTAATTAAAAATCAAACCTTTGAAGTCTAGAGAGCGTTCCACAAAAACGCCCTTTAATATACAATTTTAAAATCCTTACAAAAAATAAATATAAATAAAATATACACATTGGAACTCACAAATAACTATTTATGAGAGTACACACTATAGTACTGATATATTTTGCTTTGGCTATATTGATACAATATTAGAAGGCACTCTTTTTTTGCGGATATAATCATGTAAGCTTATGAAAAGATTATATCTTTTGTTTTCTGGATGTTTCGAAATTTTTTGTCCTTTTTTTCGGATATTTTTTTCCCGGCTTTTTGTTACTTTTATTTTTATTATTATTTTTCTTTTTTTTTCCCTTTTTTCATTGTTCTGCAAATTTTCTCTTGTTTTCTCTACATTTTGAATATATATATATATTTATTTAAGATTTAAGAAAGGAAAAGTAAAAATCTACAGAAATCTGACAATTCACAATCTAAAAAGACGATTATACGAAACATTAAAAGATAATAGCTAATGGAACAAACAGCAGTTAAGAAAAAATAATTATTAGATAACCTTCAAATTTCAAATAATCTTTAATAGCGATTTGTCAGATTTCGATAGCTTATATTTTTTCCCCGCTTAAATATCAATTCAAAATCTTTAAATATTATTTCGGCAACTCTCTGGCATAACCAAATGACAGAAAAAGGCTAAAGAAGGAAATGATGTAACACGATTTAAATAAAAAACAGAAAATTTAAAACTCCCCGTTATTGAAATAGATTAAGCAAATTTTAAAAATTTCTGTTTTTTTTTTCTCAAGTTTACAACGGAAAACAGTGAAGAGCATCACTTCCTTAAAACGTCGAAAGTATATTACATTCGTGTTTCAGGTTGTTTATTACAAAAGCTTCCTACATTTTTTATTTTAGATCTGACAAAAAATATTAAAAAAAATTCTGGTTTTTAGTCAACTTGAAAAACTTTCAAAGATTTTATTCTATTATTATTATTATTATAGTTCATATTAAAACAAGGTCAGAATATCAACTGACTGTAAAACGACAATAAACATTGCTTTTCCCATTTATGAAACAATTGTAACTTATGTTGACATCAGGCACAACACTTCAGCTGCGGTTGACTTTTCTAGTCTGGCCTGTGGGTTTGAGTTGGTTTTTCAGACATACTGGTGTCAAAGGCTCACAAATTGGCCAAAATTTAGATTGGCCATAAATTCCATTTGACGATTAAAAAAAATTAAAAAAAGCAGAATATGTTCCACTTTTAGCTTTCAAAAAAAGTTCTATTCTACTCCCGCACCTAGTTTCATTTCAGTTTAGAACACTCTATTTTGTTCAAATTTAAATTAACCATGAACTCTTACGGGCAATAGTATGGCAATGTATTCTATTTGCAGCTTTCAAAAAAAAAAGGTTGAAACCTCTATTCTACTCCCGCACCTAGTTTCATTTTAGTTTAGAACACTCTAACTTGTTCAAATTTAAATTGACCATGAACTCTTACGGGCAATAGTATGGGAATGTATTCTATTTGCAGCTTTCAAAAAAAGGTTGAAACCTCTATTCTACTCCCGCACCTAGTTTCATTTCAGTTTAGAACACTCTAACTTGTTCAAATTTAAATTGACCATGAACTCTTACGGGCAATAGTATGGCAATGTATTCTATTTGCAGCTTTCAAAAAAAAGGTTGAAACCTCTATTCAACTCTCGCACCTAGTTTCATTTCAGTTTAGAACACTCTAACTTGTTCAAATTTAAATTGACCATGAACTCATTCGGGCAATAGTATGGCAATGTATTCTATTCGCTGCTTTCAAAAAACGATTGAAACTTCAATTCTAAACATTCTAACTGGTCAAAATTTGGATTGATCATGAACTCTTTTTGACAATGATAGAGCTATAAATTCAGTTTTCAGAAGCTAAAAATGATTGAAACTTGCATAGTTACCAAGCATGAACTCAGTTGATATTTTAGTGCTTTAACTAGTTAGAAAAAAATTAAAATATTTATTTAGAGATTTTTCTCTAACGGATGCGATCTAATAAAACCGTAGTTAAGTAAAATTAAGGATGATTATCTTTAAAGTTTCTATCGAAAATGAAATCCAGCAAGATTGAATTTATTTTATTGAAATGCTGACTATTTAAAAAAATAATTTTAAAACAAGCAATGATTTAGAAACTAATAATAATTTAAAAGGTGTTATAATTTAAAAATTATAATCAGTGGAAAAAAATACCCTACCGTATTATAAAATAGTAAGTGTTCTCGGAATTATCACCAAAAATATAAAACTAATTTCTCAAAAAAGAACAAACCGTAATACTCGAAAATCTGCTACTACAATTACTATAATAATAACAATAACTTTACGAATTCTTCCGTGCAATTGAAAAGTCAACGTAAGCGACAAGATATTCAAAAATGAGACTTTTATACATTTGGCATCCTTAAATGGAAAGTTACATAATGCAACAGTTTTTTGAAATTCTATTTTAGCGTTCATAGCATTAGCAATAGAAGGAGAAAACTGCCATGCCAAAGAAAAAACAACGTAAGTTACAAAAAATTCAAAATTGTGAATATGTATATGTTTGGCATCATCGTATGGTAAGCTACATATTGCAAAATCAATTTTGAAAAAAAAAATTATTTTATAAGTTATCTGAAATTCTAATTTAGTGTTTATAGCACTATCAAGAAACTAGTTGTCAAGCCACTTTTTTCTCGGAATCAGTCATGAAACACGCTGTTTTTTCAGTTGCACGGAAGAATTTTTTTATTCTGTGACTTAACTGTTATAGTTATTTCAAAACAAAAAAAAAGATAAAAGTATTATTACCTCTGGAATACCCATCACCGCCTGGTAGTAAAATGTTTTTATTAATGACGGGTAATATATGCTTTTAGCAAACGGGTCCACTTGTCCCTTCTCATAAGCTTGTTTCTAAAATACAAATAGTTAATAAAGAACTTCTTTCTCTGAATAACACTGTGAAAGAATAGTTAATGTCACTATTTCTGCGAATTTTATCACTATTAAGTTTAAACACATCACCACAAATCTTCAAACGGATGGCATTCATGGCATTGTTCGCGAAATTGTCAAGAGTCAAACTCCGCTACCGCCTGGCCCACGACGGATTGATAAAACTATTTTTCAGTTTTCAGAGTTTCAGTTTTTTATAGTCAGCATTGTTTTTTTAAGAATCCGCTACAATTTGTGCTAGTTGTGAAATGGATTAAAAAAAATGTTTAATGTTGGTTTTCGACATCAGATTTTTCAAGAACAAGAGTGAATCCATGTGAGAATCTCAGAAATAAGATGGGAAGCTATTGCTTTGTGAATTTTTCGACAAGTTAGAATACAAGCTTTTACTTATTAATATTTTTTTATAAAGCTCAACATAAATTACACTAGCTAACAAATTTTTTGTTTCATTTATACAAATACTTTATTCTGCCTTATTAGGGTGTGGGGATTTCAAGTTCAAAATAATTTTTACTCCTAAAGCTACAGTTTTTTTAAATGACATATTAAATCAATTTTTTATTGAAATGTAGAAGTTTTGAAACATTATATATAACAAGGATTTGCGTAAATATTACGACAAACTTCTAGGGGAGTCATTAAAATTATCGGGATAAAAAATGCGCAAAAACTTGTGTCATTGTAGGTGACTTGGAACTCTTCCCTATTATGACCTGTTCAGAAACACACGATAAAAACAATTCATAATAGGGAAGCGTCACTAGTGGTATATGGCCACGTTTCCGGGAACGGGTTTGTACGCAAATTTATTACTAATGATTAATTGCCCTAACTCTCCTAGAAAATTGTCGTAATATTTATGCTACACCCAACTATATATAACGTTTTTAAACTTGTAGATTTCGACAGAAAATCGACTAAAAATGTCATTTAAAAAAAATCTTTAACTATATCTAGGAAATAGAGAAACCGATTGCAAATTTGAAATCAACGATGCGAAAGCATCTCAGATTTGTTAAATAAATCTTTTGTAACAAAAAATAAAAATTAAAAATTGTTCCGCAGTGTAATTTATCTGCGAACGCTTTCAATGAAACACCATTCTACAGAATTATGACTTTATTACAAATCATTTATTAATAAACTTTATTAATAACAATATGATTTTCTATACTTATTTATTTTTAATTATTGTTACAGACGAATTTGTCATTTCACGTTTTTTTAAAAATAAAAAAACATGTCTCTCTATTTGGTATACTTTTTTGAGATCTCTAAAGCGCTGAAGTAGCGAGCTATCTGCAAAATCTGCTTTTAAAATAATAAAAAGATAAATAAACGAATAAAATATACTTACGGAAAGTCCTGCCATAAAAAATTTGCTAATAAATTCGGCACCTAGAGGAGACATAGCACCTGGCATAACTTCCCTGAAAAACAAATTAAGTGCATAAATCATTTTTTTAAAAAAACAATTTTCTTTTTTAAAAGCATTAAAATTGCAATGTAAATTGGTTTATTTTTTTAATACTTTCTATGACGTCAGAACAAAAAAGTTTTTTCAAAAGTGAAAAAAATTCATTTCTTATTGAAAGACTTATTATAAAATAATGGTAAGTAATATTTTCAAAATATTCAATTCTTTAAAATTGCGAGCCTTTTTAGTTAATGTTGGACGAAATATTTTCAGGGTTGAATTTATTTTTTTATTATTCGAAAAATTCCCTCCTCGATTTTAAACAATTTCCTTCGAAACAGTGAGGTTGACTAACTCAATGGTGCTTAACCAAAAAATACTTATAAAGAAGAACAATTTTTCGTAACTTCAATTTAGGCAGCTTAACAGTTTAACCCTTTTCGGTACCATGTTTTCATTCTAGTAACACGTGTTATAAAAATATTACGAGCCACTAGAAATGTGAAACTCCTCACAAGGTTTGCCATGTTTCAGCA